CTCTCGAGGACTTGATAATGATGAGAATGTAATCCCAACCAACAATAAAGTGGTGACAATGTTCTGCAACAATTTTTGCATGTTCGGGGAATTACCAGCTTCACCAGAACTTGAATCCTCTGGAAAATCACATAAAAATAAGCTTGAAATATTTCAACACATTCACCAAGAAGCCTTGAATTTGGAGAACATCTCCTAAATGTGATGTCACAAACATCAAAAAATAATCGTAACACGTATTATAAACAAACCTATAAATAAGTTGACATCTTTCACTAATTTCAATATTATAACTAAATCAGACAGTAATACTTTCCGTACTATCAAAGTTGTAATTTGCCACGGGAATTAGTATTATCTGTCCCTAATCAAAATTCAAAAGAAATTATAAAAAAAACGCACCTTTGGATCCAGATTTCTGTTCATTAGCCTTAGGAATATCTTTCTTGTTCTTGGGAAAGTAATTTTCATAATCTACAACAATTGAAATAAAAAGGGTGTAAAATTTAGATAATAAGTACAAAAAAAATAGAATACAATAATTAATTCACTCACTTCTTTTCTTAGGTCCTTCACTGGAGAAAAATCGCCTAATCCTAGGGTTTGCGAGAATAGAATCCAAATTCGACAATCGTGTATTGGAAACAAGCTGCTTCCCTACTCCAGCTGGTGCTAGAAAACCCCTTACAAGCCCTAATCCTTGATTAACGAGTGGAACGCTTGGACCATTCGATAACAGTGTCCTCGATATACCATTCTGTTTAGTAAATGAAAACGAGCATTCATATAACTAAAAAAATAAAAAGGAGAGCATTAAAAAAATAAAGATACATATAGAATGCAGGAAATAAACATTATTACTGTTTGGAAATTAGAGCGAGAGAGAGAGCGATAAATTCTAGAGAAAAACATTGTGAGGTATCAACGACGGTTCACACGAACCGAATCAGAAAAGTTTAGTTGACTCTTATAAGAATAAATTTTCTCTTCTTTCTGGGTTCTGTTTGATTTATGAGCAAAACTCTGTTCTTTTCCTTTTTGCAATTTTATTTTTTATTTTTGTTGAGGTTGAAGGTAAGGGAAGGGAAGTTATAAAAGGGGAAACGAAACATGGGATTTTGTTTTAGCAGAGTTCCGGGTCATTATACGGCCTTCTTTTATGACCGAAATTACGATTTCAGCCTTATTATTGAAGCGTTCAGTGGTTTTCTCCGGGGTTGATTTTGTCATTTGAAGTCGAGTTGCATTTCAGGTTTTTTTTTTTTTTGGTGGGGGTTTGTTGGTTGGCCAGTCCACAACTCTTTGTTGGGATCCACTAAAAATTGATTTGTATGTTAGTAACAAAATAGGTCTAACTTTGGGCTCTCTAAAGCTATCTTAGATTAGGCCATTTTCATGTCACGATCCAATCCTATTATTGTTTCTTTTATTAGTTTAGGTAATTATAATATAGTATAGGTTTAAATACTCTTAATCGTTATTTAAATATTTCTACAAATGACGTACTTAAATCTGACATATCTAAATATAATAATCACCCCTTTTAACCACAAAGGTTGTTTTGATTCGTGTTTTGATTCTTTTTTCCTTAAAAGAAAATTTGTTGATTTTTTTCAGCCATGTGCACAACGTCTTAGGCGAGACTGTCATCATCGAAGATAGCCAATCAGGTTCATTAGCGTGATGGCTCTAAAATAATCAATAAACGTCTATCACATCACCTCCCAAGATAATCAATTAGGGTTAATCTCAAACGACTAATTGAGACCAGTGACACGACAACTCCCAACTAAGGTCATGCCCAAGAAACTATAAATAACCATGTATGAGATATCGAAAGGAGAACATGACACCACCCCTAACCATCTCTCCATGGGTTATGGCTTAGATAAACCTTTTTACCGCTTCTATGGTTGTTGGCTATTTTACCAGTCAAAAAATTTTGAATCAAGAGAACATCAATCTAAGATCGTTCCACATCACATGCCATAAGCTTCAAATGTTTGATAAAGACATAATATTAAAATTAGCCTCCCAACGTTTATCAAAATGATCATTTTGGCCTATATTCTATTTTATGGAGTATTTTAACCCTCAACGTTTTATTTTAAGACAAAAATACCCATCTATATACGAAAATCGTTAATTAACACACGATAAACGCTCCAAAACATGAGTTTTTTTACCTTAAAATAAAACATTAAAAGCCAAAATGCTCTAAAAAAATATTACAGGCCAAAGAGATTATTCAGTCAAATATTAGGGGGATTTTTTCGTAAAATAAAACATTGGGGTCAAAATACTCTAAAAATATATAGAAATTAAAATGATCATTTTGATAAACATTGAGTACTAATTTTTACATTATGCCAATAAAATACACCGTATTAAATAACTTCCCTTCTCTTCCCCTTTCCTTCACTTTCTCTCTCTTAGGGGCTATTTGTTTGGCTCTGAATGAAACCATTCAGTGCTTCAACGTGTTTGTTTCTCATCTCTGAATGATTCAGTGCTGACTAATTCAGCAAAACAGTGCTGAATGATTCAACATCAAAGTACATTCTAAATTATTCAGAGCCATTATCAAACAGCATGTCACATTCAGAACTAATTCATTCATACAGAGACTCTGAATCATTCAACATTTGAATCATTCAATACTTAATCATTCTAAAGTAAACAAACAACCCCTTAAGACCTTGTAACTTTAATATAATAATCCTAAGAATAATGGCACTTCAGATGTAAAACCTTAAGTGTTTTGGATTTCTGGGTTGCATTACTACAAATAAACATCAACAACAGTTCATCTCTTTTTCTGTTTAACCTTCTTCTTCCCTCGTCAACCCCATGAGCCTAAAAAACCACCAGAGCCTTCTCTCTCTGAAACTTCAACAATTATCTCATCCTCAAATGGCTCAGCCTCCATCCTCATACAAAGAATAAGAAAAGCAGCCGCAGGACAAAGAAGAATATGATTCCGTATTGGGTCTGCGCCTCTCCAATGAAGAATCGAGCCAAGACCGGAATTTCATTGACTGTTTCAAGGTGTTGGACTCGTACTCTGATCATGATCAAGATCAAGGAAATGAAACTGACCCTAAAGTATTTTCATGTAACTACTGCCATAGAAGATTTTATTTGTATATATATACGAAAATAATTAAATAAATTAGAAAATTTTACGATTTTTTTTGATAAAATTAAATAAAACCCCAACGTAGGGTTTACCTCCTTGCATGTAGGACAACCGTAATTTTTTTTTTTTGGAAAAAATACTAAAATTAGACTCTATCACTTATAAAAATGGTCATTTTAACTCATATTCTTTTTTTTTTGGAACATTTTGTCCTCCTAACGTTTCACTTTGGGGACAAAAAACCCCTTCTATAGATGAAAATCATTAATTAACAAATGATTAACGATCCAAAATAGAGGTATTTTTAACCTAAAATGAAACATTGAGGATTAAAATGCTCTGGAAAAAAGAATAAATGTCAAAGTAACTATTTTGTGAAATGTTAATGGCTTTTTTACCCTAAAATGAAACGTTTGGAGCCAAAATGCTTAAAAACATAGAATAAGAGCCGAAATGACCGTTTCGAACTTTTGGGATTATGCCTTTTTTTCCTTTTTTTTTATGTACAAATCTATACTCTCATTTCACATTTATATTGAACTACCATTGATCCACCATTATATTTCGAACTTGTTGTAAATATCATTCAATTTCAAATCTGTTGGAGAAGAAAATGATGTTTATGCTTTAAATTCTTAAACATATATCTGTTAAATAAAGACTAGGAAAAAAACCCAAGATAATCTAGGTTTTGGAAAATCTATCGTTCAAGTGAAAAGAACGATCGGGTTACCTTTAGTTAAAAAATAATTACTATTTAAAACATTATTTAATTTATTTTCCAATCTTTTTTTGTTAAATCAGAATTAATGTAAAACAAATGGATGCCAACCAGACAAAATTTCAATGACCAACGTTGTTTTAACAGGATTAAAATTTAGAGTGAAACACATGCTATAAACATTTTGTCAATTAAACCTTGAAATAAATTCTGTAAATCTCTTTAAAAGGAAACATAACATTGTCTAATAAACACCCAATAAGTTTCCAATTAAACCCCAAGTTTCAGGTTACTTGACTGGCAATTAGTGCCTCTTGAAAACTAAATTCACCATTAACATTTAGCTTTTACAGAATATAACAGACTACTAGAAATGATTTCGACAATTAGAATAAACCCCTATTTTATTTGGGCTTTTGTTTATGATTCGAATCAGAAATTCTGTTTGACTCTCCGATTTTTGTAGTCACTTTGTTTAAATAAATGGCTTTTTATATGGTAAAACTAGAAATAATTGCTCGATTGGGTCTACTTTTACCCCAATTTTCCACTTAAAAATTCATACATGTTTTGGGATAATGCCATTTCAAGCTGACGCCAACAACCAATATTCAAGTAGGACAGATGCAAAGTTTAATGTTATGGAATAAATTTATAAAATTTTAAGGGAAGCAAAAACAAATTATCAATATAAAATACAAATTTTAAATTATATAAGAATTTAAAATTTTCAGGGGCATCAATGGTAAGGGATAACCCTTCTTCCTCCAATTTATAATGATTAGAAAAAAAAAAGCAAAATTCGAACATGTAACTAGCTTCATTTTATCAAAGTACCCATTTTCAGCACATATACGAAGATACAAATCTCCAATGATGATAGCGACGATGATGATGATGATGTTAATAATAATAATAATAATAATAATAATAATAATAATAATAATAATAATAATAATAATTGCTCAACAGTCAACACACACTCTAAGTTCAAATAATATATTAGCTAATTAGTTCCAAGTGAGAGCTAAATATGGGATAAAGACTTTGCCCCCTATAGAGTTATATGAGTACCGTGGTAAAGCCGGGGATAAAACAAAGAGATAAAAGAGAAAGAAGAAGAGTGATTGTCTTGAGTTAAAAAGGGAAAACAAATACCTTAAAGAAACTTTTATTTGAGTTATAGAGCTGAAAAGGATTTTACAGTTTCTTTTACATGATTGATACAATTTGTTGTCTTGATTAGCATGATCACTTCTACAATGATGCCCTCTTTATGGACAAGATGTCAAATTACAATACCTACCAGTAAACCACCCACAAACCATATGCTCAAGAAAAGGGAAAGAGTTAAAGAGGGAAAAATAAGTAACACCACACCGTTCCTATTTCTAATTCGACTGCTTTGCCCGGTTAGCTGACAGTTTTTTCACATCTTCGACGATTATTGCTTGTAGCAACAGTTTCAAGACTTACGTGATGGTCTTTTCCTATTTCCTTTTTTTTTCTTTTCCAAGGAGTTCCAAAACATGACAGAATACATGCTAGGATAACTTAAAAGGGGACTACCAGATGTGATCACAAGGTAAGTATATACCGATCCCTCAAGCAGATATTATATCGTCAAGGCAATGTAGAAAAAACGAAATTGAAACTTCATTTTGACGTTGATGAAGCAGATATTATATCGTAAGCTGTGCGAAAACGAAGACCATTACCTATGTGTCTTGATATGGGGCATATCCAGCAGAAGATACTAGGACCCAATACCTAAAACAAACAGATGGCAACCTATGAAATTTGAGCTATAACAGCATTCCAGCCTTCTATATAAATGAGAATGAAACAAGGCAAGAAAAGAACCAAATTAGTGAAGTTCAATCTAGTGTTGGTCCACCTCAGCTAACCTAGTAGATAATCAGCTCACCATAGTAGGCAGGTTCATAATTGGCAGAGACAGACTTCTTACGATAAAATAAGATAAGAGGATATTTCGAACACCCGGAAGCTACAATCTAAAGCTAATAGTAAAGAAGTGACGTTTTTCCTTAGAATTCATAGAGGCAAAACCATAATCACCAAGTCTTCTAAAATCCATCAACGCAACATCTTACATCCATCAGAATAGAAAATGGAGAGAAGATTAATTACTAGTTATTACCGTTGTTAGATTTTCAAAGGCACCAAGATCATATGGATGTTTATAGACATTCCCTCCTTTCTCTGCAAACCACATAGCTCTCACCCCTTCATGATACTGCCGATTTTAAAAATTTGAAGGAAATAAGTAAAAAAATTATTTTAAATGCAAAAGTAAATTAGCAATAAGCAACAATACAATGTAAAACAATCCTAATTACCTCAATGGTTGTCTTATTTTGCAAAATAAGGTAAATATGCCAACCCAGGAGAACACTTAAAGCAATACTTAAGGGGACTAGCAACAGTCCAGAAATAACCTGAAAATGGTAAGTTATAAGCATAAACGAATATGGTAAACTCTAGCTGTAAAAGGTAGGTAATCATTTATGTTACATATGCGATTCTGAAAGAGTCTGCAGTTTGCTGCTTATCATTATGGGAATCATTAGTTAAGCTCCCCACAAGTAATACCTGTCATTTAAGAGAACATAAGATACTAAAGAGAAAAGGACCATGACATAAATCAATCCAAAGGAAGAAGAGGCACTTAGTGCAAGGCAATAAGTGCGTAATAAGAACATAAGAAAGAGCTTGAAATCAGAAAAGACACTTTAAAGATCAAAGGAGAAATAAATATATTATTTCAATATGACATACCAGGGAATAGAGGCAAGCAATCACGGCATATACAACAAAGACGAAGAAAACCTTGTAGTTGGCATGGCCGACACAATTATTTATCCAAATGCAATGGTGATCCTTATAAAAGAAAAGAGCACTTTTAGTGCATTATTAGAAGTGCTGGATAATATGATAGTATTATCATATTCGATAAACAGTTATCATGTGGAAAACTTATTTTCTAGAATTATTATTAAAAAATGATAAATCAGAATACAGTATTTTACTGATCGTATATACAGAATCTAAATCTTATCACACTAGGTAATCTTATCTTTATCTAGTATTCTAAAATTCAAATAACCTATCTGACGTACAAATATTTATCTGATAAACAGACCACTAACAACAAAACACTTATCCACAGCAATTAAAAAAACATTAATTTAATATGGTAATACTATCATATTATCCAACATTAAGGGCATTTGAGACATGCACGAATATTATAATAGATTGCACGTACCATTTTCAGAATGCATCTTTTGCAAACACGACAGTGATGTGCACGAGGAGGCTTAAAACAAGAACACTTTTGGCAAAATCTCAAATCCCCTCCCTACAAAACATTCTGAAGAAAGGTCACTATAAAAAAATAAATGAACAAAATAAAGCCATACAATTAAAACATAGGTCTATTAACCTCCCAAATGCAATAAAATTTCATTGACCACATTTATTTATGATATTACAATGCTTGAAGCATACTTTCTAGAGTCAACCCAACTTAACATGATTTAACTCCACTTACATGTGAAGTTTGTCCCATTGAGATTATTTGGACTTAAAGTGTTCTGCACAAATCCTTAACAAGCATAAAAATCACAATCAATCTTTGAAAAGAAAACAAGATTCAAGAAAACAGGGAATTCCAGCTTTTTTCAATGGTTCTGGTTCCAGGTAAAATCAACATTAATATTTGAGATCAAGCGTGACACACAATTACGTCAACACATGCTTTTAAGGTATCCATTTGATAAACAAGGAATTAAAATCTGACAAAGACGACAAATATTGTCAGGTGATGGCAATAAAAGCACTGGTAGTTAAGAGAGAAATCAATGACAGCTGGAGCATCACCATATATCAAATGATGTCGAGCCAAATAACAGCCACTATTATGATTAATAATGAAATATCACACAACAAAATTCAATAAGGCTAAGACCAAATGTCTGAACATGCCATAGCGACATTCTATAAACCTTGATGAAATGGTAAGGCCTTTCTATCATGCATCATATCAATCAAACCCCTGATACAGGGCAGCTAAAGGGCTTAGTTTTAAAATCTTTCTTTCACACACTAATGAATCAAATATTTTGACTCAATTTTCTGAAAAGGCCATCTACCGATCAACAGAGATTAGAATGTCTTTTGACAATGCATTTTGCTCATCTCCATATTTGGGGATCTTTGACTCAAATAATAACATAATTATAAAAACCTGCAATTCAGGTAAATACACATCTCATTTTTCCAAAACTTCCACCAAATCCAAGCATAATTAGAGAACGAAAGATCTTTTTTTTCTCACCTCAAACAAAATTTGCTAATCTATTCCAACTCCAATATCGGCTATTTTGCATGCAATAATCATGAAGAAAAAAATCTTCATTTCTAACAAACCCAAATTAGAGAATTAGTATTTTTTTTAATTAAAAACAGAAAACTTCATCCAAACTATAACGAAAAAACCAAAATCAATTCGTCGTGGTTCAGAGAGGAAACATAAGCATCCTCAGCAGAAAAAAAATTCAAGCCTTCTGTCTGACTTTTCAGCGTACCTTGCGTTTTATCTCATGGATAGGAACTCCTGGATCTTCAATATCGGGCATGAACGAAGACGGAACCCGACCCGGATCCGCGAAGATGGCAAAGGCGTAATTCAACACACACATGACGGCAACACAGGTAAAAGAGACGGCGTTCATGATGCCAGGGGAGGTCATTAGACCAAGCCAGCGATCAATGAAAATGAAGACCGTACAATAGTAAATAAAAACGATGGCCGAGATGACAACGGTTACAGAAAAGCTGAAGCCTCGCTTCATGGTTTTTAGATGCTTTTACTGTAAATGTTCGGTTCGATTGGCGGAAACGCCGGCGTTTCAAACGACGGCGCCTCCGGCGGTTGTGAATACCGATGTGGATCTTTTCCCCTTTTATTTTTCAATTTTTTTTTTTGGTTTGCAGGGAAAAGTTGGAGCTTTAATCCGGAGGGTCTAGATGATGCGAAATGCGGTGCCGTTGAAGTTTTTTTATTTCTATTTTACACGAATGCCCCTTTAATTTCTTCTGCCTTCTCAGATTGGCTCTTTGTAAAATTTTGTTTTATATTTTGGTAATTTGTTTGGCTGTACTACTTCAATTTTGGTAACTTTGTATCTAAGTTTTTTTTTTTTACCAAGAGGTGACGAGTTTCAATAAAATATTTTTTATTAAATTTATCACATTGATATAAAAAGTTTGAATAAAAAATATTTTATTAAAACTCGTCATTTCGAAGTGACGAGTTCCATGCATTGTAAAAAATACCGTAGATAACAAAATAAAAGTGTTTATGCCATATTTTACAACAACAAAAAACTGGGCTGTCCTATTGGACCCAAAAAACTTCATATCTATTTATTGCTTTATATGGTTAGCTATCTTCAAATTTAATCCATTTAATTTAAAATTTTCACCAATAACCGGTTGGTCTATTGGGATGAAAGATTAGATCTTTTAAGCAAGGTCAGGGGTTCGAATTTTGGTGATTGTGTATGGAGCAAATTGGATTGGGAGGGTTGCCCATGTCTCTATAGTATCAGATTCGAATTAGTCGATCAATAAATCAGATATCGGTGATGTTATACTAATTTTTTTAAATTGACATTGTGTCTTTCTTTTAGGTCGATAATTGTTAAAATAACTATTTATAACAGTTGAAGTTGAGTTTTTTTATGTATTATTGTTGTATCTTGTTAATAATTTTTATTTTTATTAATAATTATTTTTTAATATTATGAATTAATTGAATATTAATTTAATTAAAAAATATTTTAAATAAATATGAGGTGAATATAAAGCATAATATGTTTAAAAATTCTTAACATGTTGACAATGAACGTTCATCCGCATATGTAGTGTTTGAATATGTGACTATAAGGATAATAAGAAATCCTTTAATTATATAGATCGGTTGGTTTGTGATAAAAATGATGAATTTGAATATGAATGAAATGATTAATTTTGTCTTTTATGTTTGATTTGAATATATAAGTATAACAAAATGCATTTTGATTGAGGATTCAAATAAAACTTGAAAATAGATGGAACGAAGTATGTATGATTGATGGGGAAAATATAATTCAAGGCTGGTTTAACATGGAATTTGCTTAATATACTAAAATGATCCTTAATCTAATACAGTTCGTTCAAGTAAGTCCTTCTATTTTTCCCCTTTTGTCTGAATAAGCTTTTTCTTTGATTTCTGTTAATGAAACACTTGATTTAATGACAATATTAAAAGTAACGGTATTTTTGGAGTAAATATCAGAGATACAAACTATAATATAGATTTAGATTAAAGATTTGTTTGGTAATGTTGTCTAAAATCACTTTTAATTAAAAATTTTTGTTTTGATTGCAAAATCAATGTCAAACGAGTAAAAATTGAATAAAAAATATGGTGGAAATTAGAGTCATCTCGGACATTTTTGGGGTCCTGAACGAAACTAAAAATAGACGCTTATACAAAAAAAATATTTTATTACTTTGAAAATTAATTTAATACTAAATTAATAAATCTTAGAAAATGATTAAATGTAACCCCTAGACCCGGTCTGTGAGTTAGACTCAAACCTAAGTGGTCACATATCCCATTCAGAGGTTTTTTTTTAATATCTTACAATACATTATATTAATAATACAGATATGTCCAAACTTATAGCAAATACATGTCACCAAACATAACTGAAAAACATATAGAAATATATGTTCGTACAAAATAAGTAGTTGATTTCCACTGATGTCAAATCTGCTAGCTTACTGTCTGCTACTATCTGAAAAAGGGTAAAAACTACAGAATGAGCTAAAAAGCTCAGTGTGCTCCATACAGTATATAAGAAAAATATACAGATAAAACCTTTCAATGAAATCAGTTTATGCAATATGTTTTTATTTTTTTTTTAAAACATGAACACTACCCCCATCCGTTCACATCATAGTTGTGTAAGTTCCCCAGAACCATACACCCAACCGCACATGCCATTTAGACCCTGAGCACAAAGCCGAGAAGTCTGCAGATAATCTTCCTTCAACAATACCCCCCAAATGACAATGAATGTATTCAATTGAAAACAATGATTAATCACTTAAAACATAACAAATATTTCATACTTAGAAACCATATGCAGAAATACGGAAATCAGAATTCAAATCAATAATTCAGATATCAGATAAGCAGATCTCAGAAATCGGTATGAAATACCTTAATTCTGAAATTATATCAGAATATACAGCAAATCAAATATCAAATACTCGGTATTCAGATAAATTATTTAAATCAGTAATATAATACTGTTAGGAAACACACCTGTAACAGTCTGGGAAATCAGATAGGGAAGCCTATTACTGGTATGTCGATCACGTTCTGCTGCAGCGCTAGACCCTACGAATTGGAAAAATCCATATTGGAATCCTAATATAAATAATATAAATATTATTTAAATAATATACGGAAACCTACGGGTAATTCTCGTAGTACGCGGTTCAGGCTGATCTAACAAACGGATAATACCGGACCTAATTGATCCTTGCTCAGGTGAAACACGAGTACCTTCATAAAATATTTTATTGAAAAAAATCCTTGACCAAATCTCATTTAAATAATCAAAATATTAAAATATTAAGCCTTTTGGGTTTACAAGCTCGATTCGGGAATTTCGGGTCAGAATTTGGCAAAACGGACTTCGGAATCAAATTCAGGACGTCGAAAAACATAAAGTATGACCTTCCGAAATTTCGAATTCTTGGTCAAAAATAAAGTCAACGGGTTTGAATGACGATTTGGAGACTTTCGGGTTTGAATTTAGTAAAACGGACCCCAAAAACGGATTTGAGACGTCGAAAACTATCAGGATAGGTATTTGTGGACGAAAGCAAAGGTCGTTTAATATCCGGTCAAAGCCGGTCAAAGTAGGTCAAAAGACTGTCAAACATTTTACACAAATAGCACCCTTTTTAAAATAATTACCAATATAGCACCAAAACCAAATTAATTCCCAGAATAGCACCAGTCAACGGGTCGGGTCAACGGTCGGGTCGGGTCAACGGGTCGGGTCGGGTCAACGGTCGGGTCGGGTCAACGGTGCGGGTCGTGACCGGTCAAACCGGTTCAAAACCGGTTAAACCGATTTCCAGCGTTCACTCGCCTGCGGCGGCGCGTGTGGCGCGTGCGACGTCCTCCGGGGCTCTAAAAATCACGGAAAAATTTCTAAAAATTATTTTGAGCGATTTCGAGATACTTACTAAGATCGGTTCAAATTTTTGAACGGCGGAGAGCTCGATTTCGACTCGGCCGAATCTTTGACTGATCCACCTCCCCACGCGTCGCCGTCAACGGAGATCGAGGATGACACCGGCGGACTCGGAACGGCACAAGGAACACGATGGTGCGGGAGGTGTCGTAAACGGAGTAGCGATCGACGATGAATTTAGGATTTTCTAGGCGATTGAGCTTAAAAAAAACGTCGATGCTTTGACTTGAAATTCACGGTGTTTGGCAGCGTTTCGCTTCAATTAAATTGAGGGAATTGTTCCTGACTCGATAACGAACACGATGGTACTTTCAAAACGACAATCGGAATTCGGACGGTGTCGGAATCGTCGTCGGAAGTTGAGGTAAGGAAATGGAAATTTGGGAGGAATTGGGTTCTGATTTTCAGAACCCAATTCACGCATATATCATATATATATAAACCAAATACCTAACTTTTTTGGGTAAATTCAGGGCTTGGTCCCTGAATTTTCTTTAACTCTAAAACAAGCTACAAGTTTTAAAACCTTTCAGTTTAGTCCCTAAAAATTACCAATTTTCACAATTAAATCTTCAATTCCATTTAACTATTATTTTGATATTATCGGGTTGTTACATTAAATTAGAGGCCTAAATCATAAAAGTAAAAAGTTGGGTTGGAAATATTAGAGGCCTCAATTATAAAGGTAAAAAGTGAGATTTAAAAAAAAAAATTGGGGCTTCAATTACAAAGGTAGAGTGAGATTGAAAAAATTAGTGACCTTAATTATAAAAGTAAAAAGTGAGATTGAAAAAAGACCTCAATTATAAATGTAAAAAGTGAGATTAAAAAATTAGGAGCCTCAATTATAAAGGTAAAAAGTGAGATTGAAAAAAATTAGAGGCCTCAATTATAAAGGTAAAAACTGAGATTAAAAAAATTAAGTGCTTCAATCATAAAGGTAGAATGTGAGATTGAAAAAAATTATAGGCTCCAATTATAAAGATATAAAGCGAGATTGAACAAAATCAGAGGCATCGATTATAAAGGTAAAAAGTAAGATTAAAAAGTTAAGGGCTTCAATTATAAAGGTAGAAAGTGATATTGAAAAAAATTAGAGGCCTCAATTATAAATATAAAAAAGTTGGATTAAAAATTAGGAGCCTCAATTATATAAATAAAAAATTAGATATAAAAAATTAGGGCTTTAATTATAAAAAAATAAAAAATAAATATCTCGGTTGTAAAAATAAATAGTATGATTCACCCTATAAAAATGGGGGACCAAAGCAATCGCTCACCCTACTCTTTAAAATGGCCATATGGTGGAAACGATAGTTTCAAATCAACTGCAAAAGTTATGATTTCTAACTTTTCAATTTTGTATTAAGAAACAAATTTATATTTTTACCGTTACCAATACATGGACTCACTCCAGTCATTTGTTATAAAAAATAACTTTGAAATTCAATTTATTTTATTAATTATGTATTTACATTTCAAAATACTAATATTCTTTAAAAATATTTTATTGTATAATACTTTATTTTAAATAAAATTTATGATTTATATATTAAATATTAATAGTAAGTTATTATAAAATATATTTGGGTAAACTACATTAGTGACCACCAAACTATAACCCCTTTTCATTTTAACCACCATTTTTGAATTTTTGTCAATCAGGTTACCCAACTATTTAAATACATTCAATCAA